TATTTAAACTAGATGAAGATTCGAATAACGATAAATAAACAAGCAAATGATCGGATGATGATGATATATGATAAAGGCAGAAGCTTTATACAGGATAAAAGACTCGAGGTGCTTCCAAGCTAGACTAGCGAGTTAATGAACCAGTATTGTCAAGCGGTTTCATTTAACATGGACTCAGAATATGTTAATCTTCTCATGAAAGTATTAAACATCTATACTGATCCTCTTTCATACCAAAATCCCTTTTGAGAAGCATGAATCAGTCAGCTTTAAGATCCAGTTCAATAAGTCATGTAAGAGTTCAAACTATCACTCTCACGATGAAAGACTCTTAAACCTTTACCTAAGTGGTTCAGACATTTCTACGAACACTTTTGATGCGAGATATGTCTCAGATCTGTACCTCAAGTGATGTGCTTGGATCCAGCTTAGAGATCTCGTCGGTTAAAGAATGAAACATGCAAGACTAGCCCCTTAAACTCACTAATCTATCATGAAAGCAACCTAATCTACCTATCTAAAGCCGCTTAAACGACTACTCACTGATCATAACGAGCTCACTAAATCCTTTGCAAGACGTGTAGCTAGTCATGATAAGGAGTTTGATGCTGGAGAATAAAAGAAATAAAAAAGAACAAGATTCTGACGTGAAAACGAGATATCGGATTAGATTAATCAAGTTTCACAAAAGAGGCAAGTTCTTAAAGCTAAAATAGGCAGGAAAATAAGATAAGATAAAGATCATTAGGTTTCTGGTTCTATAATCTATTTATAGTGAAGGGTAAGTGTCGCGGGTCAGCCCGGAACAAACCGGGTACTGAGCGCTCTTTTTGCGTCGTCGGGTGAGCACCACGGTGTGTGAGAAAGCGAAGCTGAGGTCTTGATGCCGAGGGGTGTACGTGAGCAAAGATCAAGATGAAGATCTCATGAAGAACACGTCAAGAACATGCATAAACCCTAGTCTTCAATCCATCTTCACATGTGTCCTCCAAGTCATTTTGTTCTTGATTCTGGGTTCGTGACAAGGGACCTCAGCATGTAATGCCGAGGTGCTTGGTAGGCGAGGGGTTCAGGAAAACGGAGTCCAATATGCAATGCCGAGGTCTTTATACCGAGGTGCATGTTCAACACTTAGTCGTTTTCAGCTTCACTTCTCTTGCATGCATGCCTTGATCTCAACATACCGAGGGGTTGGTACGATGTCTAGTTCAAAATGGTTTCAGGAGATGAGCCTCGGCCTGAGCAATGTCGAGGTAACGATGCCGAGGTCTGTAGAAACACTTAACGCATATCGCAACTCCTTTGGGCTCGTATCGACCAACTCGTCTTCCGGAAACAATAATTTTCAGCACACGACTCCAAATTCTTTGAACCCAGTTCCATAGTCAAGATGACTCATTCAGCTCAAACTCTGGTGAAGAAACCATCGGAACTTGGGAAGTGGAAGGCTCCCGGGATTGCTTATCTTTGCACCGCATTGGAATGACCGGAAAATATAGCTTTTAGACTGATGTGTACTCCAGAGACGGTATCTTCCAAACCACTGCTCCGAATTGAGCGACCTCAGGTGTTCCGAAAAAAGCATTCATAAACCTTGAATATTGATGAAGGCGCTTTAAACTGGTTCGAAACGGAAGGGCTTCGTCCCACGTAATCTTTGAAACCCATCGGATCAGCTTTTGGGTGTATGCGAGACAGGCGTGTCTTCCGGAGGCGATATCTCCTTACTCACTGGTCCGAACTATGTGATTCCAATTGTTCTGGGATCTTGGCTTGATTATCTCCAATTTTGATGAAGACCCCGTCAACTGATTCGGACTGGAGGATTCCCCGGATTTGAGATCTTTGAGGCACGCGGGTGAAAATGGATTTTAGCCGATAAATGCTTTCCGCGGTAAGGAAAATGTCCGAGAAACGTGTACCGCGGTAAGCTTTTTAGCCGGTAAAAACTTTTCGCCTTGGCGTAAAACTTCACTCGATGAAAATTTCACCCGGTACTGATTTTTAGCCGATAACGACCATCCGATAGCGATTTTGGCCGATGTTTCGATCCAGCCGGTACGAGTTTTCGCCGAGAAATTCTTTCAACCGGTTTTCATCATTTTTGACCCTTTTCTTCACCATTTTCACTCCTGATCCTCCTATTGAGTTCCAAATAGCCTCCAAAGCACATGATAAAGACTTGAAAACATGCAAAACTCGATGGGACCTAATGCAAATCCTAACGCCTATTTTGTTGCCTAAAGACTTAAAATGATTAAGAAAACACATGATTTGGACCTAAAAATGCAATCTAAATGATGCAAAATATAGACATATGATAACACCGGATTTTGACCATTTTTATGGATCACTTTAATATCTTTTACAGGTGTTTTTACTCCATTTTCAAAGGTTTTCAAAGGATTTCTATGTTTCCGGATTTTAAAAGACTTTTCAGGTAATTTGGGATAAAGAGGCACAAATTGGAACAAAAAGACTCTTTTGGATAAATGCAGACCGTCAGAACTCTCATGGAGAGACGAAGACCTTCTCACCGTCTGATCACCCTCAAAATTGGACAACTTATAGAAGAATCAACCAGCTTTCAAATGCACTTGGTTTAGAGACATTCCAACGGTTGGATCTCAACATATTCCATTAGCCCCGAAGCCACTCGAAGACGGCCAGCAAGTCACGCGACCGCGGCCAACAGCCTATTTCCCGCGGTCAGAAGCCTCCCGACCGCGGCCAACCACCAAATCCCCGCGGTCACGTCACTCCCGACCGCGGCCATCAAACTCCGAACTAAAGCCCATATTTCTGAAGCCCAAAGTCATTCTCAGCCTCAATTTCGGAACCCTAGAGACCATGGAGTATTGAAGACTATAAATACTTGTCATTTAGGTCGTTTTTAAAGAGAACCCTTCATAATTTACAGAAACCCTTTTTCTTTAGCCGTTTTTATGCGATTTTTGTAGAAGATTGTTCAAGTCCGAGTTTTTCAATAGAGAAGCTTTCTTCATCTCTTTTCTTTACTGTTTTTCATTACTTTTATTAAAACCAATGATGATGTCGACCTCAGCCATGTCTGAGTAGATCCCGAGTTGGGCTTAGGGTTCCCGAAAGGGGCTCTCATAATCGATTAAGACATCTAGGTTTGTAGATCTGGGATTTCGACCTGTTATTCTTGTTCTTATTGCATGTATGCTTGATTGATCACCTAGTATCTGATCTAGATAGTTAGTGTTGCGAAAGTTTTCATTAAGTATCAGCCCTAGAATGAAACAGGCGATTTTTCCGTAGGAGTGGAAACCTACCTGCGGCGAGATCGTGAGTATTGACGAGTCTTGTGCAGCTTTTGCGTTCTCTCCCTTCCAGGGCCAGAGTGGAAACCTACTGGTCAGGGTTGCGAGAAACAGTTGGTTATGATCACGACAGTGACGTAGTCATACCGCCGTACTCTAGCTCCAGAACGACCTATATATTGATACCCGTCAATCCCAATCTATCTACCCTAGTGTCAAAACCGATTATGATCCCTTAGAGTTCCCAAAAGCTCAGCGTTTTTAGCCATAGTTTACGAACCAATCGATTTTTACTCGCTCATTTAGATCTGCTTTTCAATTGCCTTAGTTCGATATTTTATCTGCTTACTTGCTTTCCATTTGATTTTTCTACTTGCTTTCTAGGATAGATTTATTTGCTTTCTTTAAGTTTTAGTTTAATTCGTGACAAACAACTAACCTTTAAAACCAATCTAGTCTAGACATAAAGTTAAAAACCGTAGAAGAATACCAGACACACAAATCTCTGTGGATTTGATCCCTAAATACTACAACTGATTAGCTGTGCACTTGCGGCTTTCATTTGTTTTGTTACGGGTAAAACTTGTTCCCTCACGCAGTTGACATGACATCAAGTTTTTCGCGCTGTTGTCGGGGATTTGTTTCGCTGCCTTTTGTTATTTTTCTTGTTTTAACTTCTGTTCTAGACACCTGATCTCTAGTTCTTTCTTAAAGTTTTGCTGAATTATCTTTCCCTTCTTTTGTTTTTCTCTAAATTGCATGAATACCAGGCGCAGACCTGTAGAAAATATTCCAATTCTAGACGAGATAGACAGACACGAAAGAGAACTTCGAAGACTTAGACGAACACAAGGAATGGCCAACGACGACCAGCCTGGAGATCCTATTAATCGAACTTTAAATATGGACCAAGACGGGTCCAAACATGGAGAAAATGAAGAGAATGACTACAGAGGAGGTGATCATGCTCGACAAGATGGAGAGGAGGATGAGGTTTCTCCAAGAAACCACCAGAACCGCGAGAGAGAAGAGCGTGAAGACCTTGATGCACCCATCAATGCAGCCGATGGTGACCACCAAGGGATGCAGCCAAATGGACGCGTTAATCGCCCTGTGCAGCAAGCAAATCAACACCCAAGACAAGCCAGGAACCATCGCATAGCTGATTTTGATGCACCTACTCAAAATTTTCAGAACCGATCCTGCAATTCTGTTGAAGATTTTAATATATAGAATTGTATAATTATTGTAGATAGTGTATTAAGTATAGATTTCTAGCCGTTAGGAAAAGATATTGTATTTATTAGTTTAGCATAGTATAAGTATGTGACCTTTGATGTAAAGCAGAATAACTTTCGATGAAATAGAATAACTCATTTTGACATAACTCGATTTGACAAATTCAAGTTCCATTTCCGAACCGGAATGAGTTTGAAGTCAAGCCTCAAATCATCTCATTGGTGAAGCAAAACCAATTCCATGGAGTTCCTTCTGAACACCCAATGGACCATATCGAGCTCTTTGAAGAAATCTTCAGCATGATGAGAACAAACCAGGTTCCAACAGACTATTTAAAGTGTAAGTTGTTCCCTTTTTCATTAGCAGACAAAGCTCACCGTTCGTTGAAATCTTTGCCTGCAGGATCGATTACTAATTGGGAAGAATGTAAAACTGCTTTCTTGAACCCATTCTATACTAAGTCAAGGTCGAATCAGTTGAGAACAAAGATCTCAAACTTTCATCAACGGCCAACTGAATGTTTCTATGAAGTCTGGGAACGTTTTAAGGAGTATGAACGTGATTGCCCTCACCATTGATTTCATGGATCAAGCCTGCTAAGCACATTTTACCGAGGTTTGCAACCAAAATATAAACTTTCACTTGATACAGCTAGCAATGGAGATTTTGGACAAAAGACGATAGCCCAAGGAAGAGCCCTCATCAAAAATTTGGCTCAAGCCAATAGCAATGATTGTCCTGAATACGATCGATCAACGAAGCAAACCGGAACAGACAACAAGGAGATAACTGAGTTGAAGAACATGATGAGCCAGCTTCTGAAGAGCACAATCGCCCAATCCATGCTTGTGAGACCAGCAATGGCGTAGAAGATGAAGGACCTAGTGATATTGATCACATAAATCAAGCCTTTCAAGAAGAAGATGTGAACTATGTAGGAGCGCTAGTACCATATAAAAATCGCTTCAACAATGGCTTCAACAACAACTTCCGGAATGCAAATTACAACAATCTCTCTTACCGCAATCCAAATGTGGAGAATCCTCAAGATCAGTACTACCCACCTCAGCAAAAATCCTTCCAAAACAAGTTCCAAGGTGGGAACTTCGGAGGAACAGGACCATATCAACCGCGACAGCCATATAACTACCAAGGTACGGGTTTTAACAATCAATTTGTACAACAGCAGGGACTCACGACGAATCAGCTAGCTTCACAGATCGGTAGACTTGAACAATCCATCCAACAGCTCGTTATGACGAATGAAAAAGCATCTAAAGACGTGAACGTGAAAGTTGACTGCATGTACAATGATCTGAACGGGAAGTTTGAAGCTTTATCTTCGCACGTCAAAAAGCTAGACGTGCAAGTCGCCCAAACAGCCGACTCTATGAAGAGGCAAAGTGGAGTTCTTCCAGGAAGAGTTGAAGATAACCCTAAGAGGTTTTGCAACGCCATAACAACATTGCCCGAAGAAGAGGCCAGAACCGATGGAAAGAAAGAAGAAACCCCAATCTTTGTACCACTGTACAAGGATGTCGATGCCAAGCAGCCACCATTTAAGGTACCTGAACGATCACCGTTTCAAAGGCTCACAAAAGCCGACGATCCGGGACGTTTTGTTTTCCAATGTTTCATTTCAGGAATCAAGTTTACAGACTGCCTGTGCGATTCCGGAGCCAATGTCAACATCATGTCAAAGACATTTGCCAAAAAAATGGGCATAAAAACCTTAAGGACATCGACGGTTAAGGTTATCTTTGGAGATTCATCTCAAAAAGATACTGAAGGGGCGATTCATGATCTACAAGTTCTAGTGGGAGATAAGATTGTTCCAGCTGATTTCCAAGTCCTGGAGATGGATAAAGACAAGGAGAGGCCACTCATTTTTGGGAGACCATTCCTATCCACCGTAGGAGCAGTAATCGATCACGCAAATCGGCATGCTGTTTTCCTCAATGTGGATCGCAGAAGGTACTACCCGACTATCTTAGACGATCTTCCAAGCAAGGGAAACAGGCCCAAAGAGAAAGAAAAAGAGAAGCCGAAAGCTTTTGCGAAGATCAAGATCATCATTCCACCAGATGCAACAGAAACTAGTGAGGACCAAATCCAGGAGCTAATCGAAAACACAAAAAGGGTTTTAAATAATGTTAAAATCCAAAAGAAGAGTAAAGGACAAGAAGTAAAACCTCCAGCGACCGGGAGTGATAAGGGCACATCAAGTGGAGTGCCATTCAAATCAGCCTGATTTTTCATGCCTACCTCGAGCTAAACGACTTAAAACAAAAGCGCTTAATGGGAGGCAACCCATTTAGGTACTCTTTCTTTTAGTTTTCTTTTCCTTTTTACATTTTATGCTTTCTTTTTCTTTTAAGTTTCAGGTATTTTATAAGACAAAAAAAAATCAGAAAATTAGAAAAACCAAGAAGAAAAGGGTAGGTTTTTAGCTGCTCGGCCCGGCAAAGACTAGAAAGTTGGACGAAGGCCGCAGGAGGAAGAGCCGCGGTCGCGACCAACCGACCCGCGGCCAAGGAAGCATCGACCACGGCACCGTGAACGTGACCGCGGCCGAGCCCTCAATCGCCGCGGTTGCGCGTCTCCTGACCGCGGCCGTTGGTCGTTGAGGTGACGACGCGGATTTCCGCCGCTTTTCGAAGTTTTCTGGTGATTTCTGAAGTATTCCCGGTAAAACCCGTAAAGATTCTCCGTAAGTTTTAAACTTTCCTTGCGTGCAAAACAAGAAGGAAAAAATGGAACAAACCAGATCCCGAAGAAGCCGTCGCACTGTTGACAGCTCTGAGGACATTCCTGATGATGCTACTCTAGGAGAGTACATGCTGAACCAAGCCAGACCGAGAAGGAGAAACTATGGGATGAGATTGCTCCAGCACTCAAGAGAAACACGAGCAGCTCCCGAGCCACCACAGATTCGATACATTGGCAGGGAGACAAACCCGAGAGTGGACTATGCAAGACGTTTCAAGAAGCTGAACATCAAACCCACGCCTTGCATTATCATACACTTGAGATGCTTGGAATCAGAGAGGATGTGATCTGGTACATCGATGCACTTAAGCTGAGGCCCTACATGGAGCTGAACCTTCTGACTTATCCTGAGCTAGTCCGCGAGTTCTTAGCAACTATTTCACTCCAACACACGAAGAGGAGGAACCCTAGAGCATCAGATGGCATCTTGTCATTCTCTATCCGCGGACAGCCTTACTCTCTCACCATTTCTGAGCTTTATGAAGCCCTTAAGCTTTCATACACTGATGGCATTTACCTTGAAGATGAACCGGATTTTACCTTGTGGAGAGAGATGGGTCATGGAGTCTATGATAGTGGGAGATCCAAGTCAGCCCTTCTTACTCATCCAGCAGTGAGAGTTGTGCACAAACTCTTAGCACACGATTTTCTCTAGAGCCAACATGGGATGCGTTTTGAAGACTGAGCTCATTACACTTCAGATTCCGTTTATGGACGACCCACGACTTGCTTGCTTTGCCTGGATCATAGCACAGAACATGGTAAAGGTGAAGCTTGATTTACATGGTTGCGAGGACGCTACTCCAGCTTACGGGAGTGCTATTACAGCGATACTACAGGCTGTAGGATTCGATTTCTCATCTGATGATCCACTTCCCGATGTCTGGTATGACCTACTTTATCTCTCTCGCGATCACACTATCTCTCGTGCCGCTTTCGATCCAGACAGGTTTGGTTACAAATATTGCACTGGCACTGAGGAGCACCGAGTCAGCTTGCCTTCAGCATCTGTCCCGAGATTGTGTAACGGAGGACGTCTGCGATGGACTCCGGAACCCGATGATTTTCTGCCATTTGTACCTCGTCTACCATTCACCATTGGCCAATACATAGTGGCCAAGGCGAAACGTGATGCAGCTGCGGCCCGTGCTCACTTTCAGCTATCTGTTTCGACCGGCCACACCTCATCATCTACATCATCTCACACACATTCTGATCTGGAGCGCAGAGTTGAGAGACAGGGACGACGCTTTGAGCGCGTTGTCACCTTCCTACAGGAGCAGCACCAGTTCGCAGCCGACACATCGGAGGATGAATGATTGATCAGCACTTCAATACCATCACGGTTCTATCATCATTTTCTTTTCTTTTATCTTATTTTATTTCACTTTTATTCACCATCTTCTCTCCAACTTTTTCACACTGGGGACAGTGTGATTTAAGTCTGGGGGAGGATGTCTATCCGTACTAATCATTTCTTGCTTTTGCTTTTAAATTTCAAGCACTTTTTAAATTTTAATATGTAACCTATTCGACATTAAGTATTTTTCAGGAATGTTTGACGCAAAACTATGATGATTTAGACCTGCACACTTCTACACTATGCATGATAGCTTATTTGTGGTTAGCACTAGACTAGGCGGTAGCTAGAGTACTTGCACTACGAACTCCCACCAGAGGACTTCTATTCATGGAGATTCTTTCTGACAGGATATACTAGCTCAATTTATTTGGACTTAATATTGATATCTAATTTTCTCATCATTGATTATAGGCAGGCATCGACATACACATCTAGGACGTCTTTTACCCTCACTTTTACCACTATTTGTCGTCCTAGATGACCAGTTTATCTTTATCTGGTACCATACCCTAAACCTGAAACCCTTGTTTTCAATCCTCATGCATTCTCTCTCTAGTTTATATCAGCAGATATGTGCAAAAACGTCGGAGAGAAGATGAGCGACACAGTTTTCAGTCACTCACAAAGGAGACTGAATGGAATTGGGAAGGAAGAGTATCAGAAACTTCATGAAGCTTTACAAGACAGATTTTAACTGGTAATTTCGTGCTCTCTATGACTCTATATCTAAAGGTGTTCCCTCTCTTCATCTTCATTCAAAAAAAAAACGAATGAAAAAGAGAGAGGGAAACAAAAAAGCCTAATGAGTCTTAGATTGACGAAATTTGTGGAGCGATAAGCAACCACTATTCGTTTAAGGAGCTATGGCTTTGAAAGATTTACAAAAATCTAAGTCTGGGGGAGTTAGGAGAGAACCTGAGGAAGAAGACCAGGAATCTATGGCAAGAAGAAATTGACTGAAAACTGTGGATACCAACAGCTTCACTCTCTCTTGCGGTTTTGCATAATATCCTGCATCCTCCAGATCTTCAGGTAACCCGTAAACACTTTAAGCCTTACCCCTAGAATAATCCTTTTTAACACCTAGCCTAGATTGCCTTGCCTAGACTTTCTTTGATGAGAACCACCGAGATTTTTAATGAATGTTAAAAGCTAGTTGACTGGAAGTTAGATATTGGTGCATAGATTTCCGCATGACGTATTAACGGACTAGTTATGCCTGTATTACTAGTGAGAATTTTCTAGGCTATTCTCGATTGATGCATACTAATTGATATTGATCTAGAAGTTTGGTCTCTGAGATTTTTTTTAGTTCCTGCATTTTCAAACCTCTCACCGAGATTTAGCCTTTGTTTTGTTTGAGGACAAACAAAAGACTAAATCTAGGGGAGTTGATAACACCGGATTTTGACCATTTTTATGGATCACTTTAATATCTTTTACAGGTG